ACTTTCTTCTCATCAGCTCATGGTACATTCTCCAGGATAGACCACATATTAGGTCACAAATATAGTCTCAGCAAATTTAAAAAAATTGAAATCATTCCAACAATCTTTTCAGACCACAATTGACTAAAACTGGAGATAAACAATAAGCAAATCACTGGAAGAGATACAAATACATGGAAAATAAATAATAGGCTCCTGAATGACCTATGGGTTCAAGAAGAAATAAAACAGGAAATCAAAAAATTTCTAGAAACTAATGAAAATAAAGATACACCATACCGAAACTTGTCGGATACTGCAAAAGCAGTACTAAGAGGGAAATTTATTGCAGTAAATGCTTATATAAAAAAAGTGGAAAGACTCCAAATAAATGACCTAATGCTGCACCTCAAAGAACTTGAAAAAAAACAACAATCCAAACCTAAAGGCAGTAGATGGAAAGAAATAATTAAGATCAGAGCAGAACTAAATGAAATAGAGACCCAAAAGACAATAGAAAAGATTAATATAACTAAAAGTTGTTTTTTCAAGAAGATAAACAAAATAGACACACCATTAGCTAGATTAAAAAAAAAAAAAAAGAAGAGAGAAGACCCAAATAACAAAAATCAGAAATGAGAAGGGAGACATTACAACTGACACCACAGAAATACAAAGAATCATTAGAGACTACTATAAACNATACCTCGAGGGATAACCAAATGTAAAACAGTTTTCAAATCTGCCTTATATGGTTTTCAGCTCCCTTCACATTACTCCTCTCAATCATTTTTTGTTATATGGTGGTTATGGAGCTTGCCTAAGGTTGTACAGAAACTCAGAATGCTGTTAAAAATTTTGGTGTTTGGAAAGCTTTGTAGAATGTTGGCTCTTCCCAGCTCAGCAGCTTTTCTATGCAGGTTAGTGGGTAAGACAGATTTAAAAAAAGGTGGCACAGTCTCTCATGAATTCAGTGGAAAAGGGAAGAAATGGCAACAGATTGGAAGGATGTTTACACACCTAGAAATTACTGTGCTGTAATATATCTAAGTGTTTGGGCATGGTAAGAG